CATACATGTAAACTGAGGCCCAGGAAAGGAAAAAGGACTCAGAGCTAAGTCACACGGTGAGTCCCTGGTACAGCTGGACTAGAACTCTGGCCTCCTAACACTGAGCCTAGGGCTCTTTCCACTACTCCCTGCTATTTCATCCATAAATTTTCTTTCCCTTAGACAACTGGGATCTGATAGATCGAGCTCTATTAATTATACTCTGGCAGCCAACTGGCAGCCAAAGTATCACCTCTTTCTGGGGACTGTCCTTTGACCTTATTTCAAGGGGAGTCAACAGTCCAGGGCCCCACACTTACCTCTCAGCACAGGCATCCTGGCAGTGGGAGATGGTCATCTTTCTCAAGTCAAAAAATACGGCCCCCTTCAGAGTCCTCTCCTGGCCATCATCACTGAAGCATCCAACATATGTGCCTGCAGGCAGGAAGTACAGTAGAGACTCAGAGGCTCCGGAGAGAGAGATGGGTCCTAACTGTGGGACCACCCTTAGGAAATGCCGAGGCAGCCCCCAGCCCTTTCTGGCCAAGGGAGCCTCTCAGAGGAGCCCAGGGGAAGAGGCTGCAGTCCAGCCTTCCCACTGTGCTTCTGGATACCTGTGCCTTGTTCCCTTCCTACCCCTATTCTTAGTTAATGGTCCACTGTACCCCCGGACACCAGACACTCTGCCTGGAGCCTTGTGTTGGTCTGAATACCACTTTCTTCCATCAACCCCAACTCAACAAGTCTGGCTGGTTTAATCACCTCCCATAGACCCTGTTCTTCGCCATCTTCCTAGGATCAAAGAGGCCTCCCTGCCACCATAAATGGCCTGATAAGCAAGTTCTGTTACTTCCTCGTGATCCAGAGGAGAGAAATTAATGTGGAAACTCTGATCTTGGCTAATATAAAGAAGATCTTGCAAACAGAAAGGGGTATTTCAAGAAAAAAATCTGCCGTCCCAGGAGAGAGCAAGCCCCCATCGCTGGAGGTGGGTAAGTAGTGTGTTAGCATTTAAGGGAGCTGTCCTGTGTGGGACTCAATAGGACCAAGGAACTGCTGAGCCCTCACCAGTCCAGGCATCTCTGGCACATCCCTGGAAGGAGGCGCTGGGGCCCTCCCGTGTCACCTCGAGAGAGGGAGATGTCTCCCAGAGATGCACAGACAACTCAAGCGCAAAACAAGTGAATGAGACATGTAAATGTCATGTTCACCACAGTGTTTTGAAGGAACAGTGCATTGGGATTTTGCAAACACACCATCCCATGGTCCCTAGCTGTAAATGTATACCCACAATAGCTGTGCCGAGATCTGACTGGGGACCAATGTTAAAGATGTTACACACCTTCCTGAGCACATTTGTACTCAGCTCCTGGATGTCTGAAATAGCACCTGTGCAGCATACCGCAGCCTCCAGAAATTAGGTTGTCTCTGGAAGTAATACACCCAAAGCCCTGCAAAAGCCTGCTGACACCCAAATGGCTTTGTGGTGAGGAGTGATCTCCTGGTCTACCAGTCTGGCAGCTACCTGCGGTGGACGAGACTTGTTTTTATTCCTTCCAAGAACTTGGCCAAAGCAGGAGCTGAAGTTCAGAAAAGCAGGTCTGCCAGTCTTTATTCCTGGAGCCTGAATCAGGGAGTGATTTTTCTGTCTGTGAATGCCACACTTAATTCCCTCTCTGACCTTGGCCAATCACTTCAACATTCTATGCCTCAACCACCAAACAAAAATGTCCACCCCACCAGCCTTACCCTGCCCCAATGTATTTCTCCTGCCCCACATTTGGACGTGTCCCTGTACCCTCCCTCATGTCTACTCTTTGCTTCCTACCTGTCCTTGATGGCTTATAATCCTGACCACTCCAGCCCACTTTGGCCTTTCCTTTCTCTGGATTCTTATATTTTGCATCTGAAAAACTTTTTGTCACCCAAATCCTATCATTAACTGTGATTGTTTAAAAAAATCTTTTATATCTTGCATGTCCTCTCTCTGCAACATGACTTAAGGCTTGTTAATGCAGGGGCCGCACCTTCATCCTAGCTGGTCAGGCACAATGTCAACATCAACATCTGCTTGTCAACAGTGAGTTATAATTCTGAAACCATACTGATATCCTCTGATGGTACAAGAGGAGGACTGGAGAGCCCAAATGCAGGATGGGGATGATCCTCCTGACTACATCAATGTGCAGTTCCCTGGGCTCTAGTTTAAGAAAAGCAACAGAGGAAGGAGACCAAGATGGCGGGTGACTAGACTCTCCAGCATGCCAGCAGTGGTCAAGGACCCAGAGACCTCAGATTAGAGAACACTGGGGACACAGGGGGAGCAACAGTCACCTTCCTCAGGGTCTAACAAAGGGTCTTGCTCCCTTTCAGGCAATGAACCTCCTGAGATCACATCAGCACACACATGGCCACACCCAGTGTCTGTCCACAGGCATACAATACACCCCTTTACTCAGGACTCCCAGACCCCCAGGCCCTGCAAACTTCTCTCACTTTATGTAAAGTCTTAGGACTACCAAGACCAGAATGGACCACTGCAGAAAGCTTTCAGCCAGGTCAGTGAGGATAAATTGCTCTCCTTAACCGACCTACTTAGTAAAAGTAAACTAATATTTCAGAAACCTCTCATGTGTTGCTCAGCGAAGAAGAAATTCTATTACAGCTTTCAATTAACATCCAAAACATAAGCTCAGGGGTTGTTAAACATTTATCATTGTTGGTGGGAAATGAACATAAAGGTTCTAAAGATGCCTGGCTTGAGACCCTTGAAGGCTGAGACTGGCATGTACACTTTTCTTGGGGAAATAGGGGGAATAGCCTTTGGGGATGGGCTGACTTAGATTCAGGTCCAGGTTCCACCACTATCTAGCTGTGTGATCTGGCATGTGCAGTCTCCCCTTCATGAGCCTCAGCTTTCCCATCTGTAAAATGGGGCTATGCTCCCATGGAATTCGTGCGGTGGTAGTGAGAATTCCATAGATAACACACAGAAAGTGTCCAATGCAAGGTATAGCGTGCAGTACATGCTCATTCATGATTGTTTTATTGTTAATATATCATTATTAATGTTAAATATTTTTAAATTATTTTATTTCCCTGAAACTCAAAGTCTTTATTATTAAAATGGTGATAGCATCACATACATATAAGCCTGTCTGAAATTAAATGAGATAACAGATGTACATCTACACAGAACAATGTTTGGCACATAACAGATGTTTGAACAAGTAACAGCTATTACTATTCTGATCCTAGACTCTAACCTGGGACCTGGCACGATGATGGATCAGTAAATATTAGCTGAATAATTAGCACATTAATAAAAAAGAGGAAGAAATCGTTTTAAGCAGTCAGGCTTGGGTTCTTTGGGAAATAAGGAGTGGATAACCAGTCAGCAGCTTGCCATCTGTTGGAACTGAACAGTCTGGAGGGGAAGCTCACCCCTGGCTGGCCCCATCTCAGTTTGTAGCAAGGGCCTGAGATGCAGATGGCCCACCTCTCTGTTTGTGAGGAGGAGGTGAGCTCTTTTTTCTAGAAAAATAATGAATGGCTTTTCTAACTCCATGACAAGCAAGAATGCACAGAAAGAAAAGGACTTCCGAGGAACACACAGGGACATATTCTGAGGCGGATTTATTACTTTAGGCTGAAATGGAGGCAATGCATTATTGTCTGTGACTCCACATCTGTTCATTTGCACATCAAAATGGACACGCAGTGAGGCTATTAATGATGGCTTTGGAGATATTGGAATGTCTTTGGAAATTACTATCAATAAAAAACAAACTGGCTATGGAGAAGTTACTATTTTTTCCCTAGTAAACTTACTGACATTTTATTCCATTATGGATGTTGTCCAAGGTATAATGAAATGCTCAGTGATTGATGGAGCCTCCTGCAGCTTCCGCGGCTTGCAGGATCCCCTTTCAGGAGGATGGCGGGCTGCCCGCTCTGCAAAGAGACACCCTCTTTGTCTGCAGCCCCAGCAGCTGCCCCAAGGGCTGGATTGTGGGCTACTCTCCACAGTGAGGCCCATCTGGCTATGCAGGGCCCACAGAGACCCAAGAGGGAAAGGGGGCTCCCAGAGGGTTTTCAGGCCATTGCCCCACTTCTCCCCTCTTTCTCTGAAGACATCCAGCCACGTGATACCACAGCTTCTCTCAGAATGCAAATTCTTCCTGAAATCTTGGGGGACCTATAGAGGGTACTGACCATTCAGAATTGCTACCATTCAACACTGGAACTGGATCCTGATATTCCCACTGTACCAGGTATTTGCTGGGTCATAGGGAGGTTTGGGGGATCACTGGGGAGGACAGCCAGAGTGTAGAAGGTACACCAAGGGTAACTATTCCAATATTTTAACAATTGATAAGACCATACTAGTGTATGACAGATGACCAGTAGTCCTATTTATCAAACCACAGTCCTTCAGCCTTCATTGGAGTCCCTTCCATTAATTTTTTAAGTAACTGGAGATGACTTAAATTAAAGAGGTATCCATTGGTTCTCCTGGACATACATAGTCTATACCTAGGGCTATAACTAGGTGACCCTGAGCCCTCCCCTCTGCTGGCCAGTCACCTGGAAGTCAAGTTATAAAGAACTAGTCACTTCTGTCTAATGAGTCCAAAGCCCTTTGTACATATCTCTATCATGCTTCAGCCATGCTATACAGTAATCATTTGGGTGCATAATTAGTAGCATACATAGAAACTCAATAAGTATAGATTGAGAGCAGTAAAGAGAAGAATTGGAGCTCATTTGCACAAGATCACAGAGCCAATAACTAGCAATGCCAAGAAAGAAACATAGGTCTGTTTTCAAACCTGGTTTTTTTTATATGGCTTCCTCTCAAGAAATCCAAGTTGACCTTGTCAGTCATCTACACTTTAATCTAAATGAGTTGCACTGGTGCAGTGTGCGTAGAGACCTAGTTTCTGGGTGTGTCGAGGAGGGTTTACAGAAATCATACCTGTATAAAATGAGCTACAGAATCAGTTCCTCATTTCTCTCTCATTTCTTACATGAAAGCCTTGCTGAGGAATCTCACAGTGAGGGCTTTGACCTAGATTATTTCAGAAGAAACTTCCTTCCACGTCGACAAGAATATAGTCCTCCAGTCTACATTTTACTTGGCTACTAGGGTCATCTGCCTTGGGCGAGGGAAGCTTGGTCTTCTTCCTCTGGAACCTTCTCATTATCCTCAGAATAAAGCCAAATTCCTAGGCCTGACTCCCATATCCCTCCTTTACCTAGGCCTGAGACAAAATTCAAGCCAAGAACAGTCTGAACCCAAAGCCCAAACTCTAAGATGAGCTTCTTGCCTCATCTCTTTCAATATCCTGCCACTGAGTGCTCTATGCTGTGACCACACTTTTTACAGTTGAGAGCAATTCCTCCTGTGATTTAGGGTAGGGGTTTCCAATCCCAGGGCCACAGTCTGTGAACCAGGTCGCATAGCAGGAGGTGAGGGGCAGGCAAGTGAGCGAAGCTTCATCTGTATTTGTAGCTACTCCCCAGCACTATCATCACTGCCTCAGCTCCACCTCAGATCATTAGGCATTAATTCTCATAGGAGCACTGGTCTCTGATGCCATGAAGGTTGGGGGCCACTGATTTAGGGTGCAGGACCAAATGAGGTGGTGATAGAGATGCTGAGATGCTGACTGAGTTCAGTTACTACCCAACAACAGCCATGACACACTTCCTGGGTGCTTATCCCATGCAGGCTCCATCACTGGGCCCTGCACAGAGTCTGTATAACTTGATGCAAAGAGCCCCATCCTGGAGCCAGGCTGTCCCGATGTTGGAATCTGGTCAGTGCCCTGCGATGTGTTGCCCAGGCCTTGCTGCTTCCAGGCTCTACCCTGAAATGTGTACTCTACTCTCCCCCAAAGCCCCCTGTTCCATAAGACAGCCTTTACTGGCTGTCTTTTCTTCCCTGTTGCACTTGCCACTCCCTACTAGTATTCTTGAGATCACATCTCAAATATACCGTGTGCACTGGAATCTTAGTTTCAGGGTTTACTTCCAATAACCCTGAAACTAAGAGAATAACCTTGGGAATTTATTTAACTTCTTTGTGCCTCAGTTTCTTCATCTGTAAAATTGGAATGTAATATCACATCTACAGGTACATAGTAAATGCCCTATGAGTTAGCTATTTTTATTAAATAATAATAGTCACCAGGTAGTGAATGCCAAATAATATACTAGGTCTTTTAGACTGGGGATTCTCAGCTTAGGTATGTATCAGGATCATGTGGGGAGTGTGGCTATACAGACTGTGGCCCCTGCCCCAAAGTTCAGGATTCAGTAAGTCTGGTAGAACCTGAGAATTTGCACTTGCAACAAGTTCCCCTATGATGCTGAGGGTGCTGGTCTAGGACCCCACTTTGCAAACTACTGCTCTGTATTATCACGTTTAATACAATAACTCTGGGTAGGTATCAGGGGGCCCAGGGAAATTATATGACATGTCCAAGGTCACCCAATAAGCCTATGCTAAGGCAAGATTCAAGCCCAGGATTGTCTGAACCCAAAACCCTGACCTCTAAGGGACCTGCTCACATATCCTGGCCTTGAGCCATATGGAAGTCCAGCTGGTGAGTACGGAAAACTCCAAAGGGCTTCACAGTATAGGCAGAGCAGGAGGGAAGGAAGAACCTGTAAGGCAATGGACCTGCCGTGCCTACTTCTCAGGATGCCAGAAGGGCCAGAGAAAGGGAACATCAATCCTGTGACCGCAAGCAGGGCTCCTGGAAGCAGCTCCCAAAAATGCCAGGGGAACCACGGCTGAGCACCTACCTCGGCTGCTGGCGGCTGGCCGGGAGGCTTCAGGGCCCAGGGCAGGTGGCCCCTGGGAGTCGTCACCCATGAAGTGGTGGAACCAGCGGCGCCGCAGCTGGCGCAGCTCTGAGTTGCGGCTCCGGAGCCAGCGGGGTCCAGACCGGGGCCGGGCCAGGGGGCTCCGTAGCACGTCCACACCGAGCAGCAGCTCTGGGCTGACACGAGGGCCTTGCAGGGCTCTGCTGTCCAGCAGGCCCACACCTAGTGCCATGGCAGCCACGGGTAAGGCCTGCAAGGAGCCGGGAGCCCGGGGACCCTGAGGCAGGGCCACTCGGGCCCGCTGCAGCAGCAATAGGCTGCCGGTCATCAAGTAGGCAGCTGTGAGGAAGAACAGCAAGAACTGTGTTCGGCGGAGAAACTTCTGGAGTCGGAAGAAAGGTTTGGCCATGCCCCTGGGGAGCAGGGCTCCTAGCCAGAGCCCGGGGATGGCTCCTAGCACCCGGGCAGGAGGGAGGCCGGGGCCTCTGGAGGCGTCATCTCCGCATCTTGGCACCAGCCTGTACTGTCCGTGGGTTACTGTTCCTCCTGCCCTGTTTCCAGCAGGTGCTTAAATGGTACCATCACTTATCTCCAGCCACCAGGTTCTGCAGCTGCAGCTTCTGCCCAAGTGTCACAACTTTTGCCATACCTGAGCTCTACCAGCCCTCATCTCCAGGCTCAGAAATCTGGAAAAGCAGAGAAAGAGCACTTAGATGCAATAGGAGGGTACAGCACTCCCACTGCTCCAGGGTCAGGAGCCCCACGCCGCTGGGTTCTATCTACCAAAGGGGCTGGGTGTGTCAAAAGAGCACTGGCCAGAGAGCTCGGTTCAAATCCCAGCTCTGCCACTGGCCGGCTGTGATATCAGGCAAGTTACTTAATTTTGCTGGGCCTTAGCTTCCTTACCTATAAAATGAGAATGACACTGACCCCTGAGCAGTAGTGAAGATCCAATAATGATAGCAATATGGAAGAGGAAAAGCAGCAGCTGTGCTGAATCTTACTTTGTGTCAGGCACTCAGCTAAATGCTTTATGTATTATCTTAATCCTCCCACCAATCCAGTGAGGTAGATACTATAATATCTTCATTTTACAGATGAAAAAACTGTAGCAAAAGGAGGCAAAGAAACTTTCCCGAAATCACACAGTTGGGAAACAGAGGAGCCAAAGTTTGGAGCAGTCTGTATTGAGAACCTGTACTCTGAACTACTACACAGCTCAGCCTGCAATGAGACACTACCACAGTGTACCTAGCTGAAGGCATGTGTATACAACAGGTGCTCAATACCAGCTTGCAATCTGCTGACTCCTAGGGGTGCACTGGGAATGCAAGCTGTGTTTTAGAAATTGCTTCTGCAGAGGTTGGTTGGCTTTAACACAAGAGAGGGGAAAGGGGAAAGAGAGGAATTGCATAGCCTGCCGGGCTTCCTGAAGGCTACAGGCCAAAGGAACAGGACAACGCTGGGGCCTTGTACCTAAGAATGGAGGCCGGGGCACCTGGTGTGGAGAAGGAAGGGCTTCCAGGGCAGCCTTCCAGGGTGGCCCTCCACTCTCCAAGACTTAGTTCTCACACTGAGCTTTGGTTCCCACTGGCGGCGCCTCTGAAGTGTGCTGTTAGGGGTTGGCAGAGCATTCTGCAGCTGCCTCGAGCTGGGTTGTTGCATGAGGAAGGCTCTTAGCACAAGGACAGGCTTGTCCCAAGAAGAAAGGCTCTGAGGAGCGTGACTAAGCCTCTGCCCGTAACTAACATGGCCCTGGGACCCCTGCCAGGCCCACGCAGCCCCTCAATGGCTGCTCTGTGTGCTGGGGACAGCTGGCTGGGTGTGAGAGGAAAGACAATGTTTGGGCTCTGGCATTCCAGGGGTGAAGATCCAGAGGGGCCCAGACCAGCATGACCCTTTCTGATGAAACACTGAGAGCCGCCAGATTCTTGAGAACTTTGGGGAGGGCAGGAACCTGGGAATAATGTCCTTTAGGCTGAAATTGAGTGGGGGTGGAAGGCTGGGCAAATGAAGGTGGAATCAAACTGAGTTGAGAAGCCATTTCAGACAGGCCTCCAGAGCTTGTATTGTCTTTCTGAGCGTGTGGGTGCCAGGCCCACCCCAGCCCGCCTCGTCAGATTTGTAAAACCACAGAGAAAATCCCAAGAAATCCTGACTGATCTCCCTGCCTCCAGCTTTGGCCTCTCCCATCCACTCTCCACAGGCCTGCCAGGGCGATCCTCCTAACACACAAATCTGATCCCCTGCTTAAAACCCCTTTCAATAGCTCCTTGTGGCTTTGGGGATAAACTCCAAGCTTCTTAGCATGGCACACAGGCCCCTTCATGATCCAACCCATCCAGTTCATCTATTGCCAGGCCCTTTCCTTTGGCTTCCCCATCATGTACGCCGTGTGCTCACACGTGCGTGCGTGCACACGCTCATATGCACACGCTCATGCACGCACACACACGCGCGCGCGCACACACAACCATGGTGCAGCACAACCACCACAGCGCATCTGCCTTGGTACCTTTGCACACACTGCCTTTCATGTATTTTCCTCCCTCTTTGCCTGGTGAACCCCTGTGCTTCCTCCAAGACTCAGCCCAGGTGTCATTTCCTAGAAGCTTTCCCTGACTACTATCAACGCAGAAGTATATTCCTGTGTTCTCATAGCCCACGCTGGCCCCTACCCCAGCACTCACATCCTGGGACGATTTTAATTGTCCAACTATTTGTCAATCATCCTCACAGGACTGTGATCCACTCCAGGCTAGAGGCCATATCCTATTCATTTTGGTAACTCTGACTCCCAGCATGAGAACTGGCAGTACAGAGGCTCAGCAATCTTTGTTTCTGAACACATTTTTTTGAATAAATGAGAACATAAATTGATAGGTGGATCGTGATGTCAGAAACTCATTCTTGTTGGATCTTAGGGGCAATGAAATTTCAAGTTCCACTTATACAGAGCTGTGAGTGCTGAGCCTGAAACATGGACGAATGAAACAATGAAATAGCTGAACATAGTTAAGGTCTTTCAGACAGTGGAAGTTAACAAGGTGCCTGAGTTTTATATATATATTACCTTCTCTGTTGTAATTCCATGAAGAGGGGTTTCCAGGTCTGCTCACAAAGGGCTTCTGGTTATTTGACTGGGATTCTATCAGCAAAAAGTCTTATCAAATTAAAACAAAAGGGGAGAAGGAAGGACTCCTGCTATGTAAACGTTCTGATGAGATACAGCAGAAATGTGGGAATGGATTAATAGTTCAGAATTCTGAAGGCAAGATGCAGTGTGGATCCCATATATTTTATATATAGGATTTAGACATGTGCTAACAAATAGGGATGGAGTACAGTAGGTGGGGCATTGTGAGGGCGACAATTAAGATTCTACTGATCACATCCAGGTTCCGCAAGGCCTTCTAAATTCCTCTGTGGACCTCCCCCTTTCCAGAGGGACCACTCCTGGTCTCAGGAGGTAGGCACTGGGCGTGGAGACAGGGGACAGCCACTTTCAGGCCAGAGCTCAATGGCCCAGTCCTCTTATAAGCTGGCTGCCACCCCAAACATTTAAAATCACAAAGCTGATTCCCAGCCCAGATCACCTGCCATGAGCTGCATGGGGGTCCTGCATGCCCAAAGCATTAGGAACTTGTCCCCCTGCCCTGGATTTCTTCCACACTTCCCTACCAATATTGTATTTACCAATCATCCACCCACTCTCTGCCATGCCCACCTTTCCTCATGCCTGGTAGCCCCTCCAGGGCACAAATCACACAGGATTTATCACCTCTCCCCCAGATCCCAGCACACAGCCAGCAAGGTAGTGACAGCAATTTTTTCTTGAGTAACTGAACCTGAAAGAGGCCTGGGGGGTGGGCTGGGTGATGGGGAGCAGCTGCACAAGGGCTCACAACCAAGATATGAAATGCCACAAAGCAGAACTCGCCAACTCCTAGGGGTATATCTAGCCACTGACTGTCTGCACTGGGTCTGAGAGCCCACAGCTGTGCCCGCTGTATCTAAAGTCAGGGGCCCTCCATTAAAGCAAATCCACCTTGGGCAAATCGCTGCACAGAACAGAGCCTCAGGCTCTTCATCTGTTAAATGGGGGTAAATCAGCATTGTTCACTCCACACATCCCACCCAGGCAGATGTTCTGATTACTCGCATTTGAGAATTGAGGCTCTAAAGCTCAACTGGGTGAAGTGCATTGCCCAAGGCCAGACAAACCAGGGCCAGCATTCGGACCCAGGCCATCTGCTTCAGAGCCACCCCATGCCCACTAACCTTCCTGTTCTCTCTCCACACCGGCTCCAGGTTCACACAAGGCAAGATTTATTCTTGAAAGTTTAGTGTGCCTCTGCTGGCATCTTCTTGAAAATATGCCAGGCCAAAGCTCCTGGAGATGGTGCTGCACATGGCATCTTTGAGCCAAACCTCTCAGATCCTACCATGTGGGCAAGTGTTCTGGCCTCCTGGAGCTCTTCCCTTCTGGAAGTCTGGATCATTTTTCCCTAAGCCATGCTTCCCATGTGGCACCTCCCTTCTTGGAACCACGCAAAGTGCTTCAGGGGAACGATGGAGGGCTCCACCCCTGCCTGAGGCTCAGGCTTTGTTGGGAGAGGGCAACAGGCCTGAGTATGGAGGCTCAGGCTGGACAAAACAGACTCACTCCGCCCTGCTTTGCAGGCTTGTAGAAGCCCACATGTCACCCAGAGAAGGGCAGGACCTGGTGGAGGGAGACCCTGACTTCTCAGAAATAAGAGAATAATAGGGCAGAGGGGCTTCTAGGGTCTCAAGGAGGGAGCAGGAGCCTAGCTCAGTTAGGGACTCAGACAACCTGAGACCTCTTCTGCTACTTTGTTGTCATCTGGGTCCCAGCGGGTAGCAAATGATGAGCATGAAGGGGAGGGAAGCGGGGCAGATGGCACCTGCCTCTCAGCTAGGCTGGGGGATCCAAGGGAGTGAGCAGCTGAGGGGTGGCAGCAGCAGGGAGAGGAGAGGAGGCAGTCCTGGGAAGCCTGGGGGCTGGAGAAAGGCTCAGAGCAGGCCCAGACCAGACCAGTGGCCACTGGTGTTCAGTCACATGACTGCCTTCCTGCCAGCCACTGGCCAGAGAGGACAAGCAGTGGCAGGTGAGGGGAGAATGACTCCAGACACCCCCAGAAGCCACTGTGGTCACAGCTGTGAGGGCTACGACCCTTCGGAGATTCTCAAAGCCATGAACTCTTGATGGGGTGGGAGCCATAAAGACAAAGAAACAGGGTCCAACATATTGCTCTTCAGACAAGGGGATGGGCGCTTGGAGCCCCAGCCTCCATGATTGGCAGTTAGGGGGGCCTTAGTCTTGGGACCGTGGCAAAGCACACCAAGGAACCTCCAGTTGGGCTCAGCACTCTGAATTATCCCTCCCTGTCTTTTCCCACGCCACCAATGCCTGTCTCTGCCCTGCTCAGGCTCAGTGGACCCTACCTACCTCCAATAGGCTGGTCCCTCCCAATAGTCTAAGAAATTGATCTAACACGAATAACTAATGCTACAGACAGCAATGGCTTCCCAGGACTCGGAGGGCCAAGTTCAAGCTTCTCAGCCTGGCATTCAATGACCCTTCTTGGTTTAGTCTCCCAGCCCCTTTCTTTCACTATTCCTTCTAGAATGCAATCTGCCAACCACAGTGTCCCCTGGCCAGCATG